TTTAAAGCTGCGTTTGGGGCTCTTAGAGCTGTTTTTTGGGAGCCCTGACACTCAGGATCTGAAGGCGTCTCACCGGTCCGTGTCCTCGGCGTGCAGCTGCCACAGCTCCTCCTCGTTATCGTTCCCCATCTGGACCGGGAGCAAAATGTCCTCCAGCCGGGGCCCTTCAGGCCGGCACAGCCAGGCCGGTCCGGCCTTCACGTCCACCATCACCGCCGGGGCTTCAACCCTCAGGGAAACAGGCTGGAGGAGGAGACAGAGAAACAGAGAAACAGAGTTTACAGACTGGGTCAGAGCAGCTTTGGCCCCCAGAAGCTGGACTCTCTGGTGACGGTGGCAGAGGCCAGGACACCGAACAAACTGATGGACAACATGGCCGACAGCAGCCAGAGGAGCTGTTCAGGGACAGACTGCTGCTGCCCAAGTGCCGATAGACCAATAGACTCAAGAACTCTTTTGTCCCCCACGCCATCAGACTGTAAACGCCTCACTGGGGGCGAGGAGGTGAACCAGGACAGGGGGAAGAGAGATCACATACACTGTACTTAATCTGTATCTTTTGTATTTTTATTTATTTTTTTGCTTAATTTAATTCTAACTTGATACTTTTTGCCCTGTAAGCTGCTGGTAACCTTAATTTCCTGAGGGAGTCTCCCCAAGGGATCAATAAAGTACAAGTCTAAGTCTAAGTCTAATTCTAAGTCTAAGTCTAAGTCTAAGAAGGACTCAGAGACCCACAAACCCGCCCAGATGGAGGGAAACAGGCTCTCTGAGGAACAGCCCTCCGTTTGCCAGAGTCAAGGATAACCGGACCCTTCGCAAAAGGTGTGCTCATAAGAATAAAAAGAAAAATATTTAAAATATTTAAAGTTAGCATCCTACACAAATCACGAACCGTCCTTATCAAGATAATAACGTAATAATTACGCTGTTAAATCAACTGCATGGGGGATTATTTAATCAAATGAGGAACATAAATAGCAGAAAGCCTCACAAATGTTGTGGTTTTTAAAAATCCCCTTTAGGTCACAGACAGAGCTCAGATATGAAGGATATTCCCGTATTTAGATCCAGTATTTAAATCCAAACGGGGCCGTTTGGACCTCTCGCGTGCTAACAGGAAGCTTTTTTACCGTCAAAGCGGCCCGCCGTAAGCCCCGGTCACTGTTTCCTCCTCCGCATGCCAACAAAGAGGCTCAAAGACTTCCCACAGACCCGGAATTCCAGCCAGAAACGGTGGAAAAAA